GTCTGTGTAGGAGTCGTATTAATCCAAGGGATCAATTACAGACAGACTTATAAGTTAAAAAGAGTTTCAATATCACAGGCGCAAGTCAAACTATCATCTTGTCGAAACCAATGAAATCCTTACAAATTTATATATATTATTACACTAATGTAAGGAATCATTAATCATTGTGTAAGTGTATATATATATATCTTTTTTTTTTTTTGGGAAAAATAACTGGTTGACATAGATATTTTCAACGAGGGTTATCAAAGGTGTTGCATAATTGAAAAGCAAAAAAAAGGAGAAAAACAAGAAAAGAAAGAAAAGAAAGAGAGAGAGAAAAACAAGGAAACGATCAATAGTCAAGGAATCGTAATCGAGTGTATGATTACCCATTCCGAGGCTGAGTAAACAACTGGATCGAGTTGGCATCGCAAAGCATTGTGGGACTGCTTTAGCGAACAAATATCAAAGATGGCGTCTATTTCGTCGGTCCCTAGTACCTCAGTCTCAGTGCTGCACTACAATGCCAACGACCCTATTTTCTCCTAAATGGATAATGGAATGGGTAAAAGATATAAAGAAATGCTTACGAATAACGTAAAAAGTCCAAAATTCTTCAAAAGGAGTGAAAAAGAATCGAAAATATCTCGATCCTCAGAACTTATTAGTGGTGATAACAAGTAGAACTAGCGTGGACTGCGTCGGTGTTTCTGAATAAAACAGTAGGAACTTATGGATAAATTGAATCACCGTAAAAAGCTTTGTGAAACTGACGTGTCGGACGTTAGTCCTTCGTCGGAGTAAGTGATTAAAAGTGATTAACGCTCCATGCAGTTAAAGTATTGGAAATTAGCGCGACTTAAATTATCAATTTCTTGATTGAATGTGAATTGAAATCGTGGGAGTGACGCTGATTTTCAAAATGGTGCAGAATTTGAAGAAAGATACATGACGGATAAAAGGGTGAAAATATTTTTATTACGACGATTTTCTGTCTTGATTTGGCAACCAACACTAAATTCTATATTCATAAAAATGAAATAAAGCGCACTTAGAAACGATCAAGAGATCTAGACTGGGGTGAGTTTTGATCTTATTAAGTATGACTTTCGGCATTTGATTAAGCGTAGCAACATTAAAGAGAATTAATCGCTAACGAAGCGACGACGGCGCTGCTTGGCACGTTACAGCGGTGATGATTATTAATAACTAGACGCTCCCTGAGCGTTTCCTCGGGCTTCCTATTGCTTTGATGATGCTTTTAAATGATAGCGGCAGGGCAGAAAAACAGCGAGGCCGGTACTTTAACGGCCGGTACTTTGATGTTTTTGGATTAAAATGGTGATGATGCTCCAAGACTTTAGTCTTTTGTTACTTCAATTGAACACAATTCTGTCAAACAAAAACATTGTTAATAGAGGGGTCTCTTCCTGTATTAACTCTCACTAGAAAATGTCAGAATTTTTAATGATCAAAGTATAACTTCTCCCAAGGTACAAGGCTTTCGTGTTTATCAATAAAAATATCGATTTTAACAACAGGCCAAAAAGCGTTTTTCTGCGCTGTCTAAAATTATGATATGCGTACTTTGCATAACGAGATCTGAATTCTTCTACTCTTATTGACACTATAACATTATAATGTTCATGTACATTCGTACAATTGACAACTTTTTCTAATATATCACAGTCTGTAAGAATATTTACCATTGTCTTCTGCTAAGCAAGTGCAACTGCACATGTAATGTAAACCAACATTCGTGATCGCTTGTAAAATAATAGTAGTGATTATGTACGCCATATTAAATCGTACCCTAAAGCTATTGCACAAAATAAAAGCAAACAAAAGAATCAGGATATTTTACAGCGATTTGCTGATTGTTGTTGCTAGCCTGACCTTCGAAGTTCTTATCATGAAGATTATCGATTTTCTCAATATCTGAAGGTGTTCATTTCAGCCTCATCTTGTTGTTAAGTCAGCAGTCATAGTTTTGTCAGTGTTTTCATAGCTTGAACTCACTGTATGGCTATATTTCTTTCTTTCTTTCTTTTTTTTTTTTTATATTTATATTTATTTCTATCTCTTGAGATCTAATTTGGCTAGCTTTCAAACTATAGACTTCGTGAACCAAATCGTTCCGAAAACGCTCGACATCTTTTAGTGTGGGCCTACCACGAATGGCGTGTGGATCTGTACGCGATATGAGATAATGCATGATCCTTTCGAAAGCTTTCTTCGCAAAACGCAGGGCCGGCGGCATGTCCTAGAACCTGGACTGGACTCTGGACTGGACTCTGGACTGGACTCTGGACTGGACTCTGGACTGGACTCTGGACTGGACTCTGGACTGGACTCTGGACTGGAC